TTCCCTTGTCTCTCCTTTCTACTCTTGCATGTTTTTCTCACCAGACGTGGCAGAGCCACCTGTGATGGCGTCTGTCAGTGCTGAGCCATGGGGGACGCTTCAACACTCTGTCCCCTTGCCCACCACGATGGTCACACAGGATGACATCATACGCTAACAACGCTGGCGCACCGCAGATGCAGACAGGATCGAATCCACCGGTGAAAGCAGCCACCGCCCGCCGCTTCTCCCCAGTGCTTCCCACCAGTTCTGCTCCCTGTCTGGGGACTTGCTCAGACATCAGGAACCTCTTTGCTGTTTTTCATCTCAAAGAGTGATGCTTTTCTCTGCTCAGTGAGGGGACAGAGAGGTCAGGCTCCCTCTGAAGCCCTCAGAGCTGTTTCTGTAGATGCCCAGAGGAGCTCCATGGAGGCACAGCACCGTGTGCTCCAGCCTCCTACCCACACACCGCTGTGCCATATTTCCTGCAGATTTCCTTGTTTTGTGCCTTTCTGCACTTCCCTCACAGGCAGTCTAAGTCATCTCAATGTCAAGAAGCATTTCTCAAAATACAACTTCTACCACTGCCCCTTTCTGTCTTTGAAGCGTTATCTTGGGGACCAACCAATTGCATTCCTTTTTAAAAGCTTTTCCAGCGATTTAAAAATAAAATTATTGCCAGCAAATTTATGAGTATTTTCCTCTGTACCTTGTGATGCATATCTAGATTAAGACTCAAAGAAAGACGTGATGCCTAAACTAGGACTTAAACTTTTAAAGTCTAAAAATAATCCTAAAAAAGAGCTACAAACGCCCTTTCTCCACAGCAGCCCAACCTTAACACTTCTGCAGGTCCAGGGCACCTCTCTCTTTGACCTTGAATTTCTGTAACTGGCCTATTTTGTTTGCAGCCCCTGGGTTATGCCCCAAACCACCCTCACACGGACAGCCCAGCTCCTGGCTCCCCAAGCTCACTTGGCAAGCTCTGTTTCCAGACTCAGCCCCACGTGGCACCATCTTCTCCTCAGACACCCAGTTCTCAGCCTCGGATCCCACTTTGGGGAAGAGAAACTTAAAACTTAGGCTGCTAAACTGGAGGGGCATGAGATTCTATGATTGTTGGATCTGGCTTTGATCGTGATAAATGTTCATACCCTGCCCCCAGTATTTTATCTCTTGTTTTTTAGCCACAGCTGGTTTTACTGACTCTTCCTTCTACTGCCTTTTATCCTTCTAATAATTCACTAATGGATTTTCTTTTTTATTCATTATATGTAAAGCCCATTTCTTATTCCCCATGGCTGCTTTGAACAGCATTGATCCATTTTAGGTTTTCTTAAGTCTTCTCTCATTGTCTGCAAACACTGTTTTTGCTGTTAAGATTCCTCCATGGCTTTCCTTTCCTAAATCAGGTGCAGAGAGGGAGGGTTTGAAACAAAAACCCCAACTTCTACATCTCCTCTCTGATGAGACGTGAGTCAGAATGTTTTTTTTTCCTCTTTCCCACAGAAACTCTGCTATCCTACATCACATTTATACTGGGTCCAAGTTCCAGTTACATCTTACGTAGATACTTACCCCAAATCTGAATAGCAACATTGGCTTCATTTTTTGCCAGATGGGAGTTGAATGTCAATTTTTAACAGTAATTTCTAAAACCTTCAGGGGATCCCTACCCTTTTTCTAAATTTTAATAAATCCACAGGAGAGTATCAGGCAGGGCACAAAGGAAATGTCCCATCAGGTCTGGAGCCTCTGGGAACACCACGTCAAATCCAGCTGTACAGTCCTCACCAGCGACCAGAGTTAATTTATCTACTGACAGATCTGAGCCCTTTGAGAAATCACTTGATGGCCTCCGTTCCATTCCCTCCGAATACATCTCCATTCCAGTGGACACTGTTAATGATAACTTCATCAGAGAGGTCCTCCTTCAGCAAAACTCTTAAACCCAAATGTAATTTTCAGCATGAGGATGCTGTCATTGAAATCCATAGCAAAAGCTACATCCCTGCCTGTTGGACTAGACCGAGACTGACAAAACTCTTGCCCTTCAGCTGTCCTAGTAGGAATGGGGTCTAAACCCCAGGATCCTGAGACAGACCCCAGTATCAGTGTCGATTCTGTCATCTTTTCAAAAGAGCAGAAAGAGAGGAACAGCACAAGTGCAGGCAAAGGGAGGCCCATTGCTTCATGCTCATTTGGGCCCTAATTCAACTGCATGGCTGCCTCTTCCCTGCTAAGGATGAAATAGTAGCATAAAAACACTATTAATTGATTTTAATGACCTTTTCCCCCATGTTTGCTTTCCCACTTGCAACAGGAACATATGATGTAAAATACCTAAGTGTATATGTAACATCAAACTCCATGGAGATCAGTAAGCTGCCATTTTACACATATTTTTAAGCCAAAACCTCGCTTACCTTAGGTGCCGTTGTGAAGCTGTGGGGTTGACCCTGTGTATATGACGGACAGGATTTGATCCTATCATATGAAGAAAGCCATGAACAGCTGAAACAGCTTTTAAAGTGGTCACAACCACAGCTCTTCTGCTTCTGGTTCATTCAAAGCAACACCTTCCTCATTTGATCTCCTTCAAGTGCACCACTTTGTTGTTTCTTTCCTCCTGGAAACTAAAGAGTGAACGAAAATCTTGCTATTTGGGATGGCATTAAAAAAAAAATAATGGCAAATAAAGACATTTTAATTGCATGGGATTTCTGAATCAGGTTTCAAAGTGGGGGAAAAAAAATAGCTGTGTGCCTGGTACACAGAGAGCCCTTTCTCTTCCCCTTTGTGGCAGAGGAATCAATGGAATTCATACAAAAGAAGGAGGGGGGTGGGAAGAGAGATAGGAGATGCCTTGCTCGGTACCAGCAGGTCACAAGTCTCATGAGGCTCGAGCAGGGCTTGCAAGGAAGTTGCTGACTCTATCTCCATGTGTACCTTTTTGTTCCTTGCCTTGGATTTGCTGGTCAGTGGCATGCTGCTTTGCCTGGCTCTCCATAGAGCTTGTAGCCTACAGGAATTTGGACAGAGTGGTACAGACATCGCCGACAGAGACTCTGATCACTGACTATCCCTTTAAACGCAGTCTCATGACTTAGTCTTTACTCCACTACCTATTAAAGAAGGAGACAAGACGTTCATAGACAGCTTCCATTCAGACACCCAGAAGGACCCAGAAAGGCAAGACAATTTAACAGAGCTAACTGTGAGTAAATACGAGGCATTAGAGGTGCTCTCTAGAGCAAAGGGCATGGAGAAAGATTTGTAGGAAATCCTGAAGTGAAAGAAGGTGCAGTATTTTTTAAAAAATACTTGCATACGATGTTCAAAAGGCAAAATTCTGTAAAGAAACTATTCTGTCATTTTAGTATTTTTCCTTTAAATACAAATCTAAGTGTCTCTTAGTATAACGTTGACCGATGCTTGATTTCCCATAAAAACCCGAAGCAGTGGTTTTTGTGCTGCAAGCATTGGAGCCTTTTGCAAATACAACCTTTTTTCACTGGGATAAATTTCATAGAAGGAATATCTGGGGGGAGGAATTTGAAGCCAGCCTTTTGCAAACTTGGATCTAAACCCCAGCCTGGAGCCCCCACTTAGATACCTGCACCTCATGAGGAGTGGCCTTCCTTCTGGGAGTGCTGGACGTGACCCCCTTTCTGCTGGGGACAGAAAGGAGCTGTGGGTGCTCAGCAGCATGGAGACCACACAGCTTTCACTAAGGTGCCCCATTACGTGTGCAGGTAGCTAACTGTTTAACCAAGGGGCTCTGGGTCTCCACGCACTGTAATGACCAACCATTGTATACGGGTACAGGATTCTGGAAAACTCGGTTCTCGTTAGCCAACGGAGTCATCAGCGTGTCCCTATGACTTATTTTTTATGACAACAGCTGCTGGGTAGATCTGGACAGGTGTTTTACAAGTCATCATTACTCTTGCAAGTCATATCTTAACACTGATGGAAAGCGAAAGTTCCTCTGTCAGCTCAGCCTATTGTTTTTCTAAATATCTGTATTATTAATTGCAGGTATGATTATCTGGTGGAGAGTGTTCCCAGCTTGTCTTCATGTTGCCCATTTTCTTCTCTGCGTTTATCCTGTCTGCTTGCTGGTTAATCAAAGGAAACTGCATCTCCTATGATGAGCTGAAAGAGCAGAGGACTGAATTTGCCATCAATCTCTACCGGCATGTATCCGAAGCAGAGAACAGAACCAACCTGGTAGTCTCCCCAGCAAGCGTGGCTGTTTCTTTGGAGCTGCTGCAGTTTGGAGCTCAGGGAAATACCTTTCTGGAGCTTCAGGATGCCCTAGGATACAACATTCATGGTAATGTACTGTTTAAAAAAATACTTCTTGCCTTACATTTTGCAATAAATTCACAGCTTTACTAAGGAGACAGCAATTGCACGCTTCATGCTAAACTTCTGTCTTCTGTCTCACTGCAATATGTAGTTTAGGAGTGTTTTCTCCATATTTGATAGCCAGGTGTCAGCTGGACAAAGGAAACTCAATGGAATAGTTGATACGCACACTACTATTCCTCTTTTTTCTTGATCAGTGCTTACTCTTTCACTGCACTGAAATACAGCTACACCTAGAAAAGCTGCTTCCAACGAACAGCAGAATTGCTCCTGGTTTCCCAGGGCTTCATGGTGCCCGTTGTGTCCTGGTGTCCCCTGTGTCCTCTGCGAGGAGGTGCCAGGCACAGGACAGTCATTTTCTCTCCTAACCCCACTCACGTTTTCTCTCCTATCCCATTAACAAATCATATGAAACCTGTAGAAATTGAATTATCTTTAAGACTTTGCACCTTTTTCTAATGTTACTACAACTCGCCAAAAAGTTGAACTGGCAGATAGAGATATACACTGACAGATGGATGGTGCAATTGCATCTTTCCCTGAAAGCAGGCTAAAATAAAACTCACTGGGAATCTGGAATGGATATGGAAAAGGCAGATGTCTTAAAATCCAGCATTAAGTCAGTTGAATTTAAGGATGCTGTTTTCATTTTAGCTCTGGATTATCCTACCATCCCACATCACACATCAAAAACTATTTTACATTATGGGCACAATGTTTATGAAAAGCAGATGACTGCCTCATCTTCAAAATTTGCAGCTTACATACAAGACTCATGTATAGGGCTAACACCACTCTTTCTCAGCATAAAATTTACTTTCAGCGTATGAAGACTAAAGATAAAACCTACAGCAATTTCACCGTCCTGTGCTGGAACCTGCCTTAGTCACCGTTACCATTCCAGATAGCACTGATACTCAAAACCAACACAGCGAGTAAGAGCTAACTCTGGCTGATATATACAGATACAGCTGTACGTACTGACGCAAGGACATCTCTATCATGAGCAGATGACATAATGAAGTCTTGCTTGCAAGACTTCTGTTTCTGTAAACTCAGTAGGACAATTTTAGACAACATTAATTCATGCAAGGATTATACCTTGCTTGACACTTCTGGTTATTAGGGGCTCAGTTATTTAGAAAGAACCTTAAGAATAATATTGCACAGTGAAATTCAGGCACAGATCTCCACACAAAATGTAACAAAGGGAAGCGCAGAGGCTAGTTCTCTTGTGCTGCCTTACTTCTTCTCATGTGGCACATCATACCAAGCAGACATTTTATCTCCATTTTAGTTGGCTATGGCACAAGCCACATTGAGCTTTGGCTTTCGGTAATATGAATGCATGAATGTGAAAATAAAGTAGGATGGGATCTATTGCTATTGTTTATAACAGCACATTTCCAGTGACGGAGAAGGAAACCACTTCCCTAAATGGTTTAAATCAAATAAATAAATCAAATACTTAGGTCAAATTTCCTGTCAGATGTGTAAAACCAAATCATGTATATATGCATATCTGATAAAACTCCTTTCTTCCATTAGGTGTTTGCATTAATGTTCCTGTTCGTCTGTCTTTAATAATAATAAAGGATGTGTTTAAAACCTAAGGAGGCTGAAAAAAATGAAAACTTTTATGGTGCATTCACTATTCATGGAGAACCTGCTCTTACATGCACTTGTAAACTTTTAATATTTGGAAGATTTGTTCACCTTTATTCTAGTGCTAAGAAAAAAAATGTATAAAGGGATGTCTCTCTAGACTATGTGACACAGACAAAATGACACGCTTTAAAATGTTTTCTCTTTGCTGTTTCATTTTATCCACAGTGGAGTATTTTTAAGCAATTTTGAACTGTTTTCTGAGTAAGAATTCAGGACTTTGGTTAGCTAAGCACTTTGATATGAGTGAAGTTACAATCTCAGGATACCACACCTAACATTAACATCTGCTTCCAATTTACCATCTTTGATTTGTCACATCCTCCAGAGAGCTTGCCAAATGCTCCTGCACTAATGCAAAACACACAAGAAAAGCATTTTACACCTCAGACCGTGTGAGTTTCCTTGACATCTGTTCAAGAAGTTCAATATTTTATCCCTTGAAGAGTAATAGATCTAAATTTTAATACCAAACTTCCCATAGGTGATTAGTCTTCCTGTAGGTTATTTAAGGAGCACTGTTAGATCAGAAAACATGCACTGGATTCTCAGGTGGTAGAAATGGGTGGACATGAAACTCTCCCTTTACCCGGTCAAGAATCTGAACTGATGTAGTAAAAGTCTCCTGTGACCTGGATGGCAGCTGGAGGTTCTGCCCTTGACCTGATGCTCAGCCTGGGACGGGTTGGTCCAGCCAGGATGGACTTCGCTGGTTAGCCACCCCAAACCACCCATGTGTTGGGCGGCAGCACAGCCTGACTTCCCTCCAGCGCTGCCTACACCCACAGGCATCTGGAGAAACTGGGTGATTCCTCCCTTTGCCTAAGGTCTCCCTTGACTCAAAATAAAGATTTCCAGCCAGCCCATAATGCCAAGCCCAGACACGATCATGGGGAGACAGATACCTGTAAGCTGCCCAGGGCACCCCAGGGTTTCACGCCAAGGCAGAGGAGGACCTGAGCCAAGTACAGGAACCTGGAGAAGCAAGGGGCACAGTACTGACCCACCTTGGAGACAGTGGCCAGCAATTCTTGTACAACAGTGAGTTGCTGAGATTTCACACAGAAACTGGGATACTTGGTGGGGAAATCATAAAGGTCCTGGTGATCCCACAGACCCAAGAGGCACTTATGTCCTGCTGAAGAAGAGCAATGTTCCAGACACTTCACAGTCCTCATAGAAAACTTAGAGAAGGAACCTGCTGAAAATGTCTTAACATCTTAAAGGCAAGTAACAATCTCAACAAGACTTTTATTGGCTGGCTGTAGGCAAGTCTCCTCCAAAGCACAACAAGGGATATGGGAAAGGGGCTGAACCGCAAACACGGGAATTTTGAGAAGATTTGACAGAGAGCCCATAAACATTGTTCAGACTGGGTGCAAGTCCCAGGCCTCAGGAAGTCACCTTGGCATCAACCATCCCATCACAAACCATTACAGTGAGCAAAATAATGACAGACAGAAATGGCTGCTAAACCACCCTTCAGGGGAGCCTACTAGAAACTTTGTGATTTTAAAAACACAAGATCCTCTATGTTTGCAGGACTCATGTTCTCATTAGGCCCACACCTCAACACTGTACCCATCACAGAAGCCACCACAGTTGAGCTCCATGAGCTCCCCAGGAACAGGAGACCAGGGCACTATTCAGCTATTTTCACTAGTAAACAACAAACTAGAGAATACATTACTGAAATTTTGAACAACACTGTTGCTACAAGCATTTTGGAAGACCAGAATAGAATTTAAAAGCATCCTGGAAAATCAGAGAAATGTGTGAAATGAATAGGACACAATTCAATAAGGACAAGTGCAAAATTCTACATTTAGAAGGAATAATCAGCTGTTCAAATCAGGGAAAAATCAGCCAAAGAATAGTGCTTTTAGAAAAGGATCTGAGGGTTCTTAGGAAATTAAAAAATGAATATTGAATGGGAAATTGTACTTCAAGAAAAAAACAGACACTCTTGTGAGTTATAAAAAAAAAAAATAGTTGCTTGTAACACACGTGAAGCAACATATCAGATCTATTTAGCATTGCCATGCCTCATTTGCAATACTGGGCCAGTTTGGACCACCATCCTTCAAGAAACAAAACAATACATGAGGGCCAAGGATAGGAGAGACAGACCTGGGGCAGTCAGGAAGATGCCTTTCCTGGGGCGGGTGGCATCAATAACAGAAGGATATGGCAGTACTGCAGCATCAGCCACTCATCCAGTCACCACCAGAGGTGTGAGGACTCACTAACAGGAACCCAAGGAACTCCCCAAAGACAATAAATTTCCTTACGAAATGCAAGAGCTGTGTTTACATAGAGGTGTGAGCTTGATGTAAAATCAGCCACTTGACATATCTGCACAAGAGTGATTTCTACAGCAACATGAAGAGTGCTTTCCTATGCCCAGTGCATCACCGTCCTTGACGGCAGTGCTTGACAGCAATACCCAGTAAAGTCAAGGGTGCTTCAGTTGTTACAGTGCTTTAACTTCCATAGAATCACAGAATCATAGAATTTTGGGGTTCGAAGGGACCCTTAAAGGTCGTCTAGTCCAACAGCCCTGTAATGAGCAGGGACGTCTTCAACTAGATCAGGTTGCTCAGAGCCCCAACCAACTTCACCTGGAGTGTTTCCAGGGATGGGGCATCTCCCACCTCTCTGGGCAACCTGTGCCAGTGTTTCACCACCCTCATTGTGGTCAGCACTGGAGCCGAGAGCTGCTGAGACCTGGTGCAATCTCTGCTGTCCTTAGCCTCAACATGGTAAATGCAGTTTTTCCCTCTTTCTTGCCTGGCAGATCAAAGTGTGCAGGATTTCTTGCACGCAATGTATGAAGGAGCGACCAACTCCACCCAAGGCATGGTGGTTCAGCTGGCATGTTCTTTCTTTGTGGATGCTGGTGTGCAGCTCTCGCCCCACTTTGCCGCACGTGCTGCACGCTGGGCAAACAGCAACTTGCAGCAAACCAACTTCACTGACCCGAACAGAACTGCAGCCCAAATACAGGAATGGATCACCGGTAACCTTGGAGGTAACGTAACAAGCCATGAGAATGCTTGCATGTGAATAAAATGTAAAATAAGCGTAATGAGAGAAATTGCATTTAAGCAAGTATGAAGTTTTTTGCCACACTCCATGTTGTCCAAACCAAGGCTGAGAGACCAGAAATCTAATTCTTGTGCTGATGCTCATTTCTACTGTGAGGAAAGAGCTGGAACAGGTCTGAATCTGTGAGTATAAGTTTGCAGTATCAAGCTGGTAACCACTTGGCCTTGTTCTTCTAATTTTTAAAATGGAAATCCTTTGCAGTGTTTTCAGTTTTAATGAGGAGCAGCCAAATACTCCAGGGACTGTGTTCACTGTGCTGAATGCTTTCATGCTGCAGTGGGGAACATGTAGGGCACTAAGCTCAGCAGTCAGACTCTGAGTTTAGAAAGTCAAAATAGGAAATAAAAAGAATTTACTTTCCACACAAGCAAAAAAAGTAATGAAATTAAATTCTGTTAACGAAAAAATAATTGAAAAAGCAAGTCCTTAGAAGCAGCAGAGCAAATCAATCCCCAATTTGCCCCATCAACTTAAGTTATGTGAGTGTTAATTTGGCCATCAACGTGTGAGGTGATGTTAAACACACACACTAAAGCTACTATCAAAAGAAATATTCTATCCATCTCAAATGAACTGTAGTAAGTGATCCAGCTTCATGATAGAAAAGTATTGCTCTAGAAGCAGGTACTAAAATGGGAGTTCATATTGTGGTGCTCACATGCGTATCAATGAATTAAAAGTGGATCACACTTTCAAGAATCTTTGAGATACCCAAAGCAGGATGAGTTGAACTGCCAAGTAAATAAGAGAGGGAGAGAATTAGGATATGAGTTTCAGTTGAATTATTTACCTCATAAAGCAGTCTGTAATTATGAATCCATTTCATGAGGGACTTCTGTTGCTAACGATGAACCACTCCAAGATACATGCGGGGACATTTAAGCTACAAAACCAGTTAGAGCCATGGCATGGTGCTGAGCACTGGGCTGCTCTCATCCATGGTGTTCTGCAAGTGGCATAGCCCTGGCACAGCTTTGGCCCTCAACATCGACCAGCTCAAGCTCGGTTCTGGAGAGAGCATGGACCAACAGGCAACCCCAATGAGGTCCATGTACAGGTGGGGAGGTGAAGGTAAAGGGTTTAAGAGTGCCTTGTGAGTTGTACCTCTTACCCTTAGGGGCAGAGAGTGGTCCTGACTTGCTTTATTTACTCACACAAACCTGGCCTTTAGGCACGTGTCCCCATCCCTGCCTCTTTTCCTTGCAGATGGGGACGTGCGTGGCATGCCGTTGGAGACCGCTGGGTCACCGCTCAGCCAGGTTGCCCTGGTGAGCATCATGTACTTCAAAAGCATGTGGCAGAAGAAGTTTTCCTTTACGAATACCCAGATGTTGCCTTTTACCACAGCGGAGGGCTCAACCCTGAAAGTGCCCACAATGCATCACACAGCTGAAGTTAACTATGGTAACTGTCCAGATTTGCTCTATTGTACAACATGGAACAGTTTTATTTATTTAATATCCACAGCTACCGCACTAAGATGTGTTATTGTCCCAGACTGGAGAAGTCTCAGAAGAAATCCCATCAAATAAAGAGACCACCTAGGTGACTGAATTGACTCCTTATAATCCCAGGCAATTGAAACAGATCCTAAGTTCAAAATGGTTCCTAAAATATCTACTGCCCATGCCCCATCCCTCACAGACCAACAGCTTCCAGCACTCCATAACAAACTTGTCAGCTGTAGCAAACAACCCAAAGGCATCAAGATAACATCCCAGGAGAAGGGAACAGGAGAGACTGAGGGTACTGCAGTATACAAAGTCCTTTCCAATGGCATAGGTCTTGTTAAATAAAGCTGCCTAGGAAGGGAGTACCGCAGGAAGCACATCTAAACACACAACAGTGGGGCATTTAAGACTAAAACTATATCAAGCCCCTACTAATTTGATTTGTGGGGTGCATAAGAAATTCCCTGGCCCCTTAAGCTTAATCACTGTTTCTCCCTTGCGTGTGTGAGCACCAGAGAGAGGATAGTATCACCGTGAGAACCGGCACTGCACACCCATCCCTCCTGTCTCTGGTCACACGCTGCCTCCAAGGCTTTAGTATAAAATTGGAAATATTCAGGGCCAAATTCTGCAACAAAGGGGAGAGAAATTTTTCTGTCCCTTATACCCAATCAGTGGATGATTTCAGCATGGGTTTAAAACAGTATAAATATAGGTCAAACTTTTATTTGTATAATATATGAATACAGTGTATGCTCTTTTCAAAGGCTTGGAACATGTGGGTTGCTGACAGAAGGACTCATGCTGTAAGCTTAATTTTCTGCCACCAGGAATTCTACCATTTAGCTCTACAATCTCTTTCAAAATATAAAAAGCTCCTTTCCCTTCTACCCTAAATTTCAGAACTGCACTTGGGTAAAACCCCTCCTAATTCCAAGTCTAAATTTTTTCAAGACCAATTTATATCTCTCAGTATCATGTCAGCTTTATCCTTTAAGTTAAATAGTTTCTCTTCAGCTTTGATATTTAGTCCCAAATGCATCTGTGAGTCACCAAGCTGCCTCTCAATTTCCTGTTAGCTAAGCTGAACATTCCAGGCTCTTCTAAACTATTCAAAACACAAATATTCCAATTCTCTACTAGTTCTTTTCTGCACTTTTACAATTTAAATTAATCTTTCTTGAAAATAAGTGACTAAGAATGTACATAATACCTTTAATCAGGCCATCTCTATAAAATGCTCTTAGTATTTCTATGATTTGCTAAAAATACCTTGCGCAGAATCAGCTCAGGGTGGTTACTCAAGGTTGACCCCACCTGGGCATTTTTCTTTCTCCATTTTTTTTCTTTCTCCATTGTTTTCCAGCTAATGAGTCTTGGGTAAACCAAGGGGAAGGAAATCTCCACACCTTTTATTGTGTTTTTGAACCATCATTTGATTTCCACCACTCTAATCATCATGGTAACTCCACTGTTTGTCTTCGATGAAAGTCTTGAGTGTTGGCAATACTTTGGAAAGCCAATGGTAACCTCTTTTCAACCTGGGAGCTCCTCTTTTTAACTTAGCTCGTTGTAGTTTCCCCTTCAAGAGGCTGCTTGCTGTCTTTCATTTCTTGCTGTAATTGCCATCACTTCTACCTGTAAATAGCACCACAGTGAAACTACGTTTAGTGCTCTACTTAAAACTAGATGGCTGAATCTATGCCTTTTTATCAAATTAGTTATCAAATCAAAAAAGCTTATAGATTTGTTTGCTAGGGTCTACCTGATGTTGCAGTTCTCTATTTCCCTCTCTGACTTGGTTGTTCTTTTCTCCAGAGCATGTTCTAGAACTTTTCAAAGACCTAAAATTTCCCTTTCTTATTTTTGATAAATTTACACCTGTTTTCCAGTCATGGGAAAGAACTGAATCTACAGTCTATTAATACATTGCAAACTTGATGTGAAATCATTAGTTGTGTTTGTCTGACCATTTGCCTAAACACAAGAACTCCATCCTATCATGCTCAAGTAGGTAGCTGAAACATTAAACATTTGCACAAAAAAGGAAAGTTAGCCAAAATACTGGGATTACCTTTTCATCCAGCCTGAAATGTGTGAGCTCTCTGGAGCTGGAGAGACTTTTGAGGAAAGTAAAAATGAAAGGGATCATTTAAAATTTGCTGATTGCTGGATTTGATAGGGCCAATTCAAGTCTTTGTCACTAGAAATGCTAGAAACATTTCTAACAAATCAGTTTGAAATTAATACAAAAGACTGGTTCAGTACAACAAAACAGAGGCATGAGATAACTTTCCTTCATTATTAAATGGTAGCAGCTGTCTCCCATCAGGATCCAAAACACAGAGCGAGAAAGATTAGCTGTGGCCTGTTATCGATCACAGCATTTACAGCATTGTTTATCCTTTTAACATGGCCACGCAGAACAGATCAGCCTGGGGACAATTAACACTGCTCTAAGAAAATGTCAACAATACTATTTACATGTCTTTTAAAGACTGCAGCTATTTTACATGTTCATTTTTCCAAGCAATTGGTTAACTATATTTGAATACTGATTTAGCATATATATAATCCTTATGGGATGCTCAAAATCAGTTCAAGTAAGGAAGGCTAAATGTTCCGCCTCAGTAATTTCAAGTCTTTGATTTTCTTTCTGATTGACAAATAAGGACTCTATAACCTTTGTGCACAATGTGCTGACTTCAAAGCATCAGCGTGCCCACAAATTAAACCACTCAGTTCCAATGCACTACAAACGTACATCTTCCCTGCTTGCACGTTACAAACCAGAAGGTCTTTTCCCAGCAAAGTGATCCACGTGCTGGGAGCTGGTTTTAACAGCGTAGTTCCCTCTCCACATTGCATGGTGCAAGGGCTATTCTAAGGGACTAAAATTTAATCTAGCAGAACAATCAACACTTAATGAATCCTGCCTAATCCAGATCTGCAAAATTAATAAACATCGTACACTAAACGTTTGAGACATCCTATAGCTATATATTTATTGGCAAATACTTAGGTCTTGTAAACATGAGCTCCCTATATTCTGTTATTTACAACCCCTGACTCAATAAACATGAGTATCTACCCTCGAAGATAAGGTACAACTACCACAGCTGGGTGAAGAGGGAGTAGCTTCAGTATTTCAGATGGCCAGTGGCAGTGGCAATGATGAGCAATTTGTTTGCAACTTGTATTTAACTCCCAGCCTGCTAATTATTGCTGAGTGTTCCTGAAATGCTATTTATGGGGTTAACAGATGAAAAAATAAGAAAGTAAAATTGTGGTAATTGAATCTGTTCTACTATATAACAGAGTCCATTAGAAATGCCTGGATTAGTTGTTCTTTGAAATATGGAATGAAAATGGTACTCTTAAACGGCTGTTGCAAATAGTTGCATAACTAATTACAAGTTTGGAAGCCCGCAACGCCTTTACTTTTGAGACTTAGGTTTTATAACCTTCCTCTGATTTTGATAGGTCTTTGCGCCTCGATTTAAAAAAAAAAAAGGAATTTTATGCTTAAAAAGGCATAAACCTAACTATTGTTTAATGTAGTTATTTGCTTCTTGAAATAAAGTTAAAACTTATTTTTAATGGTAGTACAGATGGAAACATGAGGCAAAGTAGGTTTCAGTTAATTAACTAGTACAGACCTCATTTTGATTTTGTAATTTCTTTCAGTAGTGATTTTTTACTGAAAGGTATTAGATGAATATCACAGAAAATGGTAAACTTATTCAAAGAACAAGCACTGCAGGAACAGTCACCATAAAGTTACTGTCATTGCCTCAGTAATGTTTTTTAAACTCTGAACAAGGAGGACAGCTACTATATGAGAAAGTAGTATCTATGCTCCGTTGAGACAGTGCTTCAGGTACTACTACTGTTATCGGCATTTTTCAGCCGGGG